TCTGGAAAAGTAGTAAGGGAGATGGAGATCGGTGAGGAAGGTACTGCCATCACTGTATACCGGTAATGGCCCACGACTGAAAGAAAAAGGGTATTTGGTCATTCGACCGCTGTGATGATGACAAAGCGATAAAGTCTCGGCGTTAAAGGATCCCATTTTTGGAATACGCCCACATTCTTCTTTAGGAATGTAGTGGCGTAGGCGTATTTGGCTTATGTTGTGGCGAAGTGGCCAGCCGATGTACAGTACCGTACATTTGTTATGTATTTTTGTTTTCCCAAACGCGTCTGGCACTAAGTGGCGAAGAAGGGAAGGAAGGCTTGGTTGGCCGAGTATTTGGGATTGGATCCTGTTATCAGCGTATGTGATAATGCGTCGTTTGCAGCTATAGTACCTCCGCCCGTCGTATAGACGAGGAACCTTAGTTGGTACTGTGATGGCTGCCCCTGGAAAGAAGTCCATAGTGACATCTACTATTTTTAAAATCCGTAGTTATAACTACTATTATCGCTTTGCGTGCGAAATCACAGCGGTCCAATGACTAAATACCCTCTTTCTTTCAGTCGTGGCCATTATCGGTATGCAGTGTTGGCAGTACCTTCCTCACCGATCTCCATCTCCCTTACTACTTTTCCAGATCACTTATTTTCACAGTCTTCCTGAATGAAGACTCTGACAGGGAAGGCTTCAGCACCACACAGAAATCCGGGGTCTTCCACTTACTGGTCAGAAATGATTCCATTGCCAATTCAAAACGGTTCTGAACAGGGTGCAGTTCACAGATTAATTACTATTATTTTACTCAAACTCACACTAAACTTTAATACATGTCGTCGTTTTCGACGGGTAATAAAGTTCAGCAAGATGTGGAGTATCACGCTTAGTCGACTAAGGTAACAGTAGATGTGTTACAGCGGGAGGATTTCAGCGCTGATTGTTACACTGAATGTCCTTATTGTTGCTGCAGGGCATGATCCTGTTGTTTGTAAATGCAGAAGCTTCAAAGGTGCACGGCTGTTCATCCGACTATTCGGTTTCGTGGGATAAAAATGTTTTTACTGGCGAACCTGGCGAACTTGGAAGAAGTACAGATGTTCAAAATTTCCGAGTGATTGCTCATTGAAAATGGGGCTCCTTGGTGGTCTATCCTTCCCTGAAATCTCTCGGGTATCAGTATGTTGAGCGATGTTCTATCAGCCAAGCGCCAGGGAAATAACAAGAATTGAAGTGGTGTGGTACAATGTGTTCAGTTCCTTGATCTTCAGTAGGTACTTTACCAAGGTTTTCAAACATTGTAATAGTCAGTGATAACCTACAATATCGAGGAATATTAGGAAATATGCTCCAGCATACTTCAAATGTCAATTTAGAACGAAGCCAATTTCGGAAAATGTAATGAGGATCATTCTCGAAATGGACAATCTAACTGAGGAATACCGTAGTACAGGGTCACAGGTACGTTCTCTGTGTTCCAAAAGGTCTGTTCTGTAAACACGGGGTCGCTTTCAGCTGTTTGATCTTGCTGAAGATGTTTCGATATCTGATATTGACTTGGCTGAGCACCGAAGATGGTTCCTGCGTATCAGGGAAGAGTTACTCGATCCGACACGACATCTCGTCCGCAATTGTATGAGGTTCCAACAGCATGTGAGCCTATCCATCTATTTCACTAACTAATCAATTCGATTATTTAAAAATTTGATCCTTTAAAATTCGATGGTCCCCTGAAATTGCCCCATATGCCAAGAACGTCTTCGGTTTCCCTGTTATCGTCCCAAACTTGATCGGTTATTCCACCTGTTTTGGTACTCTGCCTATTTCTGTGCCGTTTGGCACGAGTCAAGCTACTCCTTCCAGACTGATTCGTACGTCCAAACAACGTACATGGCTTAATCAGGAAGTTTTAGATGAAAGCCCTCCGTGAACGAGTTCGAATTGAACGGCAGATCAGTAGACTACAGTATTCGCTGTCCATGGAAGCACTTCAGCTCAGCGAAGAATACCAGAAAAGGATTGAGGTTCGTGACAGGACCTACTTTGATCACTGACGCCTTTATGTCTTTAGATTTACAGGTCCTAAAAGCGCTGGATTTCGTTGACGCCACTAATATGGTCACCTTCAAAGGTCGTGTCGCGTGTGAAATTCATCATCAGGTTGGATCCTGACCCCTTTTGCCTACTGTTCCATCCTCGTTCTTGAGCTGACAGAATTTTTGAAGGAACTGCTCATAACTGAACTGATTCTGTCGAAGAAACTGCACGAGAAGTCTCCAGCTGAAGTGGCGGCGATGTTCTCGGCAACCACCTGCCAGTACAAAAGCGGTGATGGGCCCCAGTTCGAGAAGGACAGTATCTTCTATCAGGTAAGGCAACTACCCCTTTTTATTGGGATTACTGTAAAATAGGCATCATTCCAGCTAAAAGAGGACGTACAGTCAACGAATGACTGGATCGAGGGACGTGCGGCATTGGTAAAAGCCACTATAGCCGACGTTGGTGATGAGCTACGCTATGACCTCATGGAGGTCGTATACCATTGGGCTAGTGGAATGGTACGTTTTGTGGGCAAGACTACCGCTTGAATCGTTTTTCATCCCCAAACCTCCCCTGCAGTGGTTGTACTCGTAAAAGGTAATAAAACAGTCCCATAACTGGCAATTATGCTTGTTGTGGAGGTCGTCATCGGGGATGTGGCTCACTGGCAATATTACCTGGTAATGGGCTTACTATTACCTGAACGTTAATAGGTTGACCAAACTTCGCAGTGGTGGACATTTTTTGAATATTGGTTTTTCAAAACAAATAGACTCGGAGATCAGTGTAGGCACCATCAGTTTCTGCAAATTTCGTCGCCATTCGGGTTTCCCAATGATTCCCACCCCGAAGGGAGAGAGAGGGACTTGAAACTCGAAGATGTTATCATCTTCCAGGTTCCTCAACTTTATCACTTTGGAAAACGGGAGCTCTTTGAAGGGTTACTAGTATAGAGGGACAATTTCCTTATCCACGTAGGGGGGATGGACAGGAATGACCTGTCGTAACTTACCAACATGACCCTAAAAAGGATGAAATTCGAAAGGATGAGGACTTCCTTGAAGTCGAGTCTCTATCCTTCTGCAACAGCAGAATCGAAAAGGAACCAGGAGGTTGGCCAACAGTGGTGAACATTGATGGCGCTTGTCATCACCTTCAGATTTTCTCGATCAGTTACTTTTGGGATTTGTGATAGTAGACTTCCCTATCAAGCCAATGGACTCCACTAGCATTGAATCGGATTGCGATTCAAAAAAAAATCTCCCATTTCCAGCCATTCTCGGAAATCATGGCGATGACGGATGCTCAAGAAGGTCTAATTGTAAGATGTATTCAGCGGTTGGGAGAAGTATGCAAGGACGTGAGGTGAGTTCGTGGTGGCTCCTTCGAGCTTTTTCAAAAGGATCATTAAGAAGCAGAGCTTGGATAGTATGGACTGTTCCCTTGGGATGTGTTTGACCCCGAGATCCCTTCGAAAAGTGTACAAATATTTTGATGCATGTTATCCAAACGTATCGCCATTTACCAAAATCCCATTATCGTTCTTACAGCATCATCCATGAGCGTAATTCAGCCTTTTTTCTACCGTTCCGCTCAATTTGTGAGCTCTCACACCTATGAGGCCAATCAAGGGTGAATCAGCGTTTTTATATAGTAAGGCTGAAGGGGCAGAGTAAGGCTGAAGTCTCCAATTAACTAACTTGGAAGGTATGGATAGCAGGTTTGGCTTGACTAGGATCTGTGAGATATGAACTAGTGTAGGGTGTGGAGATGTCTTGACTCATTAGAGGTTTTCTGCTAATGTAAAAGGTAGAGTGAGCGAACTCGAAGGGGAATGAGGGAAGTTCTTTTTCGTGCTGCCTAGAAAGTTGTCAAGGTTACCAAAAAAGTTTGTAGACACTCAATCTCGTTCTAGGAATCAGCCCCTTGTTTTCACCCTAGCAGATTTCCTGACAATACATAGGTAAATCCTAGAATACTACATAGTAATGAGTGCAGCTATTAAAGTTGTCATGGGCTGTTAGGCTGTAGGTCCCGTCAAAAAGCTGTGGGTCTTTGGCAGGTCAAGGGGAGTTTATTGGGAATGAAGCAGAAAAGGGAAGGACTAATGGGAAAGTGTTAGGGGGCATAAATTCGCTCGCAAATCATAAAGATTGTAAGAGGCTGGTGTAGCTAGCGCGTAGCACATGGTACGGGCTGTCTTCTCCTAGATATGAACTGCCACCGATTTAGCCAACAGGTTTTCTTTTTCTCCTCAACTTCAATCCCAAATGGTCTCAGGGTCCGCTGTTAATGTCAGCCATCCCCACATCCTTCCATCTGCGCATCCTCTGCCGTTACTTTGGCCTCGGCAAGGTCCCTTTTGATCCCATCTCGCTACCTCTTCTTTGGAGGAGATCCTCGTGGCGCTTTCTCTGAGACTCGAATTCTATGCCCCCCCCCCCCCCCCCCCCCCCCCGGCCCCCACCCCCACACTG